ATAGAATAGAAATAAGTATAGAATGGAATGGAATGGAGACTAGAATAGAATAGAATAGAATAGAATAGAATAGAATAGAATAGAATAGTTGGAAGGGACCTTAGAGGTCTTCTAGTCCAGCCCCCTGCTCAAGCAGGGGAACCTATTCTATTTCAGAGAAACGGCTGCCTACTTTCTTCTAAAAAACCTCCAGTGATGAGTGGAGAATGAATGAATGAATGAATGGCAATGATTTGCTTAACAACCAGGGCAAAAGTATTAATAAAATCGGTTGCAACTGGCTCAACAGCCACACTGCTTAACGACGGAAATCCTGGTCCCAACTGAGGTCGCAAGTCGAGGACTGTCCCTGCAGAAGCTTTGGAAAAAGCTGTTAACATGATTAATCAGGAGCCCTCCTGCTAAAATATTCAGTATAAGCTGTTTTTTTTATGGCTTATGTTTTAATATTTTCTGTAATTAAAGTGCTGAGCTGCCACTCCCAAGGCACGTGGTGGAGAGGATAAATTAATTGCTTATCTCTCCATGGGTGATGGGACTTCCACCTCACCCCGAATATTCCATAAGGAAATCGATAAAAGTTTGTGACTTTTAGGGGTCTCTCTGGATACTGTTATGCCTTCCTGCCTGTCCGCCCTAATGAGATAACTTTAAGTGAAGAGAGGCTGAAATGGCTTCATCCGTTTTAAATTTTACTAATGAAGCGTGGCAAATAAACAAGGGAAGAGCGATGCAGCCTGCTTAAATGTTTATTAATGAAGTGTAGCAAATAAAAGAATAATACATTAATGATAATACGATAAGGAGCTACATACATTAAAGCTTTGGTTTTTCACCATCCCCAATCTCAGCAACTTTTAAGAGTTCTGAAAATTGAAGCTCCTGCAACTTAAATGTTGCCAAGCTAAGAAACACTGCATTAAAATGAAAATTAAGTGGTGGCAGTGGGGAATGATAATTTAGAAAGAAAAAAAAACAACCCAGTATGCTGCTAAATCTAACACTGGTTCAGTCCTTCATCCTACTATATCCAGATCGTATAAAAATACTGCCTTTTTACAAGAGAGAGACTTTTCAGAAATGGATGAAAAATTGCAGAGACGGTCAGTCATATCAGTCTGATTGATAAATAAAAATAATAAATAAAACTTTACACACTTTTTTAGCTGCAGGAGATGACGGAACAGGGCTGGTGTATCAGTTCCTTCCCTTCTCCATCTTCTTTTTAGTTATTGAGTGTGTCTGTACTTCTAAAGATCACGTGTCAACCTTCATTGAAGGAATCCTAGAAACCCCCATCGATAAAATCATTCACTTCCTTTGCAAAGGGAAATCTACATTATGGGGTGTTTCTAAAGTCGGCAAGCTGTGGCTCTGGGGTGCTGGACTGTCTGCGGTCCCTTCTGTGCATTTGAGGAGGGGGCAGTCAGAAAATTTATCATTTTTATCCATGGCCAGTACAACCCAGATGGCTTTTCCAGGCTTCTGTGAACGGCATTCTCATTCTGCTTTGCTTCACAGATAGGCAGTTGGCCAAGGTTGATAATTGATCAAAGTTGACTGTTGATGAAGGTTAACTGTTGGCCAAGGCTGACTGTTGGCCAAGGTTGACTTGGCCAAGGTTGACTGTTGACCAAGGTTGACTGTTGGTCAAAGTTGACTGTTGGCCAAGATTGACTACTGGTCAAGATTGACTATTGACCAAGGTTGACTGTTAACCAAGGTTGACAGTTACCCAAGGTTGATGTTGGTCAAAGTTGACTGTTGGCCAAGATTGACTGCTGGTCTGTTGATCAAGGTTGACAATTGATCAAAGTTAACTGTTGACCAAGGTTGACTGTTGACCAAGGTTGATTGTTGGCCAAAGTTGACTGTTGACTAAGGTTGACTGCTGATTAAAAGTTGACTGTTGGCCAAGGTCATAGGATACATTTGGACTCCACCCTTGGAGAGGGGATTTTTCAGCTCTTCTCTCTCCCCCCTGCAGGGGAAGAAAACCAGCCTGGATGGGTCTGCCCTGAAGAAGACAAGAAGAGCAAAGCCGCTTTCTGGTGTCCCATTTTGGTCTGTCACATCCCTGCCTTCTCCTCCAGAGCCCTCGACCTGCAGGTAAGGAGACCCCAAGTTGGCCCCACCCAAGATGGCCAACTTCTGACCATCTTTTCAAGGACTTGCAACTTCTATGCCGTTACAGATAGCCCTCAACTTTTGACTGGTCACTTAGCTGAAGTTAGACACCCACCCACCCCAAGCTACTTATGACCTGGAAAAGGAAGGAAGATCAAGGGGGGGGGGGAGGGAGGAAGGATGAAAGGAAGGGGAAAGTAGGAAAAGGAAGGAAGCAGAAAGATGGAGGGGGGAGAGGGAGGGAAAGAAGGAAAGTAGAAGGAGTGAAGAAAATGGAAGGGAATGAAGGAAGAAGAACGTAAAAAGTAAGAAGGAAGGAAGATTGAGGGGAAGGAAGGAAGGAAGGGGAAAGTAGGAAAGAAAGGAAGGAGAAAGATGGAGAGGAGGAAGAAGGAAGGAAAGAAGGGAGGGACATTTTCAACTCCAGAGTGCAAGATCTCACCCAGCCTTGCTAATGGATTCCTTTTTCTTTCCACTTCTGTCTTCTGGTGAGGTGGAAGAAAAATAGTTTCAGCTGGAAAAAAGAAAAAAGGAGGCACATAATTACCTTAAAAAAAACAACAACCCAGACTTTTATGCCCTCCCATTCCCTTTCTTTGGGAACATCTGCAGTCGGGGCCCATTTGGTTTACCCGAGACTAATTTTAGCCCTCTTGTTCCTGCTCCTCCCTTCAACCCCTTCTCTGGTGGCTCTGCCTTAATTGAGTGTTTCCATTGATTGATTCTGTTGTTTCCCAGATGTATTTTTAGCTGTTCTTAACAATTCCTCTCCTTTTGTTTTCGGAGACCGATAGTGAAGATATCATTTTAGAAAACGGCGCTTTTTTTTTTACCGTCCCTTCGCCGTAAAGTCTGTTTCAAAGAGTTGTAAAATAACTCTCCAGTCGGTTTCTCTCTTTTTTTTCTCTCTCTCCCCTTCTGGATGGATTCCTGCTTTCAGCTCGGGGCGGCCGTGCACAGCCCAGTCCAGTCTTCCTTGTTGGGATTCTCGGCCATCAGCACTTCTCTGCCACAGGGGTATCTTTGGGTGAGTTTATGCCAAAACAGCCTCTGTTACAATCAAGATCAAGGGAGGCACTAATACCACTCTATAAAGCCTTAGTAAGAGCCACACCTGGAATTCTGCATCCAGTTTTGGTCACCAAACTATAAAAAAAGAGGTTGAGGCTCTAGAAACAACCTTGTGATTCACTTAACAACCTTGTGATTCACTTAATGATCTTATGATTGACATAACAGCCTTGTGATTCACTTAACAATCT